GTATATTTTAACTTTATAGTATGTCATATTCTGAGATAATTAAAAAAAACTATAATTTTACTAATCAAAAAATTACAACGATAAAACTTTTTAATCAGCATTTTATATTATACAGCACTTTATTGTATGGATTTTAAATTTTTTATTCAAATTTCTTGTCACTATTAGTTTTTGTTAAAATATTTGATTAAAATTGGGAATTAAAATTAAAAAAAAAAAACATATTATTTAAAATAATTTATTTAATTAATTTAAATCATAGTACTTTATGTAGTCATACTATTATTTACAGTGTATCTGGTGTATAAGTTTTAACATTCGTTGAAGTCACTGTAATATCTCAGTATAAACTGTTTATGTTATTGTTGTTATTAGACGTGTGCTAAATAGTTTAGAGAAAGACACTTAACATTTCCACTATCATGGAAGCAGTTTTTTATACATTTGTAATGAGCAACCATGAAATTATTATTATTGGTCATTACAATACAGATAAGATTGTATATTTTATTATATACTCGGCTGCCGTTTGAAGTGTTTGAGTGAAAGTATTTTTAATAGTATTAGAGGCATTGCACGAGTATACACCGTGTGATATAGTACGGTAATTGCAGCTCATCGATAAAATTAGCCCGAGAATGTTCTGTAACCAAATATTGTGCATATTATAATTTATTACACGACAGGGGATAGTGAAACTGTAGCTTGAGGGTTTGAATTATGTTGGAATAATATTTGTATATACCACCTAGATTCGTTAATCCTATACGATTCATATGATCTACATAATATTATTATTACTGTTTTCATTCATAACTGGATCGACTAGATTCAATGCCCCCAAGATTTATTGGTTAATTATTTTTGTGTTATAGTAGATCGTACCGACGTAAAGTATCATTTTTTGTAATACAACCTATTGCATTAATATTTTGTAGTTAGAGGCTATTTTTGCGAAAAAAATATTTGCTAGACGCACAGTTTCGAAGATTAAAAATCATCACTTTATCATATTCAGTATTTCCAATATTTAATTCTCAATCTGATTTCCCTGTTTACATTGAGTTCTCATACACTTCTGTATAGTATTATGATACATAACTAAAAAATTGAAGTTTATTCGAGTAATAACAGATTTTACAATACCGAAAAGTTGCAATATGGTGATGTCGATGATTTATTAGTCTGCTTTATCTATAATATAGGATGAATTAAAGTGATAGTTATGATATCATAAAGTTCGTGTAATATATCAAGTTTTACGTGATTTAATTAAGTTGTGTACTTATTTAAAATCCATAATCTAGATGGTTATTTTTGATATAAAATGCCAACACTTAACATTCAGTTTATTATTTCCTTCCACAAAAAACGACCAATTTGTTTTTGAGAGGACAGGCGAGAAATCTACTTAACCGAGTTATCCGAGGTTGCGAACCGCCATTATTAGGTTAGGTCGGATGATTATGTCTTGATGGTTGGTAATAATGGATGTCAAGTAAATTTCTCGCGCATAAGAGAATCAGAATTTAAAAGTGTGTAGAAAAACACTTTCTTTAATCGTTTGAAACTAACACCTAACTATCATGTAGACAGTCACTTGTAATTAGTCTTCTAGGATGAGTATGTAATGAGTTTCTTAAACACAACCGTAATACTATCAAATTACTATTGATGACTTGTTTCCATCCTAATTCTCGTAAACACTATCACTATCTACCTTCCGCAATTACTCGCAATAGCTTTGGAAAATTTCATTCTATTAATGGACTATCGTTTAAGTCTTCGAGTATTAAAAGGAATAACTCTGTTTACCAACGAAATTTGAAAGCAAACGGTGTTTATATACTTTTGCAAAATTGACTTGATATAATTTTACGTGCGTTGTGAATGAGAAACGTATTATAAACTTTTTTTATTCATTGCGATCTACATACATTCATTGTATGAATATTTCACAACTGAATATTATGCGTATACAGTAACGTACATTACAGTCGTACATATTCAACAATCGCACACAGTTGTGCAATATCGCACCACACCTCTAAAAAGACTCATTTGATTTTTAGTTCATAGAATAAATGCATATATAGCTAATTAAGTTAATATTCGGATTCGACGGGTGGCGGCGTAAGCTATCTGTTTAGGCCTTAGGGTCTTACGATGGAAGTATAGTGATGTTGGAATTCAATCGTGTTTCATTCGTAATTGTAAAAAATGTTTTCAAATGTATTGACAATTTTTTTTAATCAATACGAATAGCTAGTCATCATCAATTGATTGTCATAAATCAATGTGTACTAGTAACTATGAACTCTACGGGCTCTTACAAAAACTATAAAAGCACATAATCATTTTATGTGTTTATTTATTATGAAAACCAACAGCCATAGAATTATACCAAGTGTCCACTCCAATGAAAGATGATTAATTCTTCTGATTTTTACTCTTTGCATAATAACTAGTTATAATAAAATACTGTATAGCTGCAGGTATAGTTTATGGTATGTCAGTGGATAATGCCATATGAATTCTAATACCTAATAATGTGCAAGTTCACGTGCCTAACTGATATAATGCCTCTTGCATTCTGTCAGTGATTGTACATTAACATACAAACACATTTTTTTATGCATTGGCATTAGAGTGTTATGGATTTTGGAAGTAGGCACTATTTTTAAATAACTTCTGGTCGCCAATCCACTTGCATTTCTGTCACTGATAATCTACAAAACCATAATAACACTTGGTATGTTGTATAATATTATAACATACGGCGACTGCGACACCCACATTCGTGTCAGAGATCAACAGCCGTTACCTATCTTTGGTGGAAGCTTAACAATAATTGTGAATTAGCGCAATGGCTACTGTTTATGATCGGAATTACAGCAGCCGTGACCTACGAAGCGGTGGTATCGGTGTAACACCAGACGTGTGTGCCCACGCCGTAGCAGTGTTATCCTCACACATTATATTCACAGTGTGCTTGATTATTTTTTATTTTTATCAAAAAACCACAATCTATTATATAAAATCAAAATAGTCTGGTCGACGCAGAGGCGTTGAGAAATAACGTAAATTTTTACCGTTAGAAATCATTATAATTTTATTACCACTGCACATTTATTGTTTCCCATATTTTATTCTGTTATTTGTGGTATAATACTCGTGTTCACAGATTTTTTACTCGCAAAGATTGATATTTGTTCGCATTTAACGTCATGGAAGAATAGTCCATGGAAATTTTAAATCTTGTATTTTATGGAGTATATTGAGAATAATATAAATTAATTTATAGTTTACCTAACTGTTAAATTAATATTGAATGGACAAGTTTGCTTTGGTTGATAGTTTATGCTGAAGTACAAGTAGTCTTCAATATAATGTGTATTTTAATACCTCACAAAAACAGCATTGTAGCTAAAGGGCATTCCTACACCGCATGTGTTTTTTCATGAATCCTTTTTGCACGGTGCATGTATTATTATTATATGTGCTTTAATACGATTATAAGGTAGCACACGGTGTTATTTTAGGACTAGTTGAAGATACCACTAAACATTCCTGGGGCCTTATCCGTCGTCGATTATAAGCAATAACCGCTGTTGTCGCCTAAATGAACCATGAACACAAAATTACCATTCACGGCCGGGCGTTCTGCCCTTGCTTAAAAATGTAAATTAAATTTAATGAATCGATCGAAGAGAAAAAATAAGTTGACGAACCCGCAAATTATCTATATTTAAATTTTGTTTTACTAGAGGAAATCTGAATACATGTACAAGGCCGTCTACCACCACGCCCTAAAAGAGAAAGAAAATAAATCGGTGCAATTAGGAGCAACTATAGGGTTGAATAATAAAACGTGTGAATTAATTTTGCTATATTTGTCTCAATCGTTTATTTTTTTACGAGGTCATTTTGTACACAAACTGTTTTGTATAAATAATAATTCCAATGTTAATATAGTCTTAACAACATAATACATTATCTCATTAATAATAATATTAAAGTCTCTTTTTATAATTGTACAAATTTTGTATAGATTATATTTTAAATATAATCTATACTATATACGTGTAAAACTTTAAACATTTTCTATTATTAGTAGTATAGAAAATAGATACATGACTAATGTTTAGCATTAGATTTCACAATCTTTCTTCTCATACAAATTTAGTTGTAATAAACGAGGCNTTAATATAGTCTTAACAACATAATACATTATCTCATTAATAATAATATTAAAGTCTCTTTTTATAATTGTACAAATTTTGTATAGATTATATTTTAAATATAATCTATACTATATACGTGTAAAACTTTAAACATTTTCTATTATTAGTAGTATAGAAAATAGATACATGACTAATGTTTAGCATTAGATTTCACAATCTTTCTTCTCATACACATTTAGTTGTAATAAACGAGGCATCAATCAAAGAATAATAAATGTTCTATGGTACTATATTGTATTGATATGTAAAAGCCGATAATTTTTCGCACGTTTGCTAGTATACTTCTAATAAAATTAAACAACAAACTAAGTTTTAAGTCTATGATATTATAGTTGAACTTCATTATTTTATTGAGTTCGTTGTACTAGTATGCCTGACCGATCTTTAGGTAGTCTGTATGATCGGATCATACATTAAAAATAACCGTATGGTTAAAAAAACTACCGGCATTGTTTAAAGTATCGTTCCGAATTAAAAAAAAGAATCTAATTTTTAATCGGAAGAATTTGACGTGACGAAGGACCGTGTTAATAAGTGGATAATTGACGCTCGGTGATCTTTTAAAGCGATCTCAGGTGTAACAATGACTGAAATTCTTTCAGTGTTTTTTACCGATCTTCACCTAAGTACTCATATATAATAATTAAAAGATTGCTCAAGCATTAAAAATGTAATGTGGAGTGCATCCGTGGATGCACGACTTTTGTGGAACAATAAGAGGAACTAAATAGTTTTATTTTTATTTTCTATTTTTAGGATCACATCCAAGAAGTTTTAGATAAATGGACTCAAATCGACGATGAGATATGGGCCAAAGTTATTGTATTGGAAAGGAATCGTCGGGTGGCCAAAGCTTACGCCCGAGCTCCCATACTTACCGTAAATGGCTCAGATGAAGGATTCGACGGATACAGGTAAATGAATAATCACTTTTTTACTAATGAATAAAAGAAATCTATTCCATTAGTATTTTAATTTTGATATTTGACTTTGATGATTACTTAAGATTCAAACCAGTGTTTATTTGATGTAATATGACGTTATANGGGTGGCCAAAGCTTACGCCCGAGCTCCCATACTTACCGTAAATGGCTCAGATGAAGGATTCGACGGATACAGGTAAATGAATGATCACTTTTTTTACTAATGAATAAAAGAAATCTATTCCATTAGTATTTTAATTTTGATATTTGACTTTGATGGTTACTTAAGATTCAAACCAGTGTTTATTTGATGTAATATGACGTTATCTGACAATATATTTTATCATTCAGAGGTTACATTTCTTTTAATTTCATTTAATACATTTTTTCAAACAATAAATATAAAATGTATCATTTGACGTGTACTTCTTGAACTCAGAAAAATAGCTTCTATGGTACAGTTATGATTTTCTTTAATGTTTTTAAAACACCAACAAAATATTAACATATATTTTATATGATAAATCCAAGACTGATATAATACTGTTGTTATGATATTATAAAAATGGTATTAGATTATAGTTATACTTATTAGCATATTTCTAAAGACATATTAAGCCCTCGAGATTTTTTCATCAAATGATCTTTTAATCTTAGATCACGATTAAAATTTAATTGTAGGAACTTATACGCAATGTGTGTGTACACAGTGTTAATTGATTTATTTATCAAAAGCAACTATATAATAGCTTATAGTCAGGTAGAAAATAAATACCTAATATCGGATTTATCACTTTTAAAGGAGCCTGTTTTTCTTTTAACCGACTAATATACAATAAAATCTATCGAATGGAATCAACAACTTATTTACTACATAAGAACTTCATTATCGTTTACCAATGTTGATAGCATATTATTGTATATATTTGCATATTATAATATTTAATGTATTGTAAAATAAAAAATAGATCTGGTTCTGGAATGATGCTCTTTACAAAGTCAGTGAACTCTCATGATATATGCATGTGCACAATATTTATATTTTCTTCGGGTTTTTCTCACTTTTTTCCTATACTTTCCAATTCAACTCAATTATTACCAGCGAACGATAACGCGAAACTGTCTGTACGTACGTTTGTGTTTGTTGAATCGCGACAATATATATATACCGTTTACTCTTGTACACAACTGTGTACATGTAAACGTATGTGTCATGTTCACAAGTATACTTGTAGCTTTATATGGTGTATATGGCGAGAACCCAATGCTCACGTGATCTCATAAATCTCTTAATACCTAATCTATAAGTTCACAATAGAATTGCGACCAAGTTGAATTTATTGCGACCCGTTTGTCTATGAGAGCTTAGATAATACAAGTTGAGTTTGAAACCAGTCTTGACCAAGATATACTAAACACATCGAAATTAACAGAGTTTTAGCTATAGATTCCAATGCATGACGCAATATTATTGTTCAAAATTGTGTTCGCTATTATCTTGTAACTTTATTACATTTTAATAGTGAACCAATTCGCGCTCCAACTTTAATGTGATACTCTAATTGATAGCACTGAGTCATTTTTTCAACTACTTTCATTATCTAAATTCTTTGTTGGTTTTCCAGCAGCTTTAGGCAAAAATCTTTAAAAACTTTTTAAAAACATATTATAGTATGAAAATATTTTGTCTGTAAAATGCCAAGGACTTTTCATTCCACGGGCTAACCATAGACGTCAAGTTATTCAGGGTAATGTACGCTAATTGATATTACACTTAATTTGTTTTTGAAGTTGTGAAACTATTATTTTAATTTCTAGTTTAAAAATATTTATAATGACTCTGTCATATTTCTATGTGGTAAATTAAAAAATTTTAAACTCTCAATAAGTACTCAAGCCAATAATTTTTACATGACAATGATTTCCCGATTTGAGCAAAATTCTATTATCGAGTTTATTTATACNAATCTTTAAAGACTTTTTAAAAACATATTATAGTATGAAAATATTTTGTCTGTAAAATGACAAGGACTTTTCATTCCACGGGCTAACCGTAGACGTCAAGTTATTCAGGGTAATGTACGCTAATTGATATTACACTTAATTTGTTTTTGAAGTTATGAAACTATTATTTTAATTTCTAGTTTAAAAATATTTATAATGACTCTGTCATATTTCTATATGGTAAATTAAAAAATTTTAAACTCTCAATAAGTACTCAAGCCAATAATTTTTACACGACATTGATTTCCCGATTTGAGCAAAATTCTATTATCGAGTTTATTTATACATCGTGGGTTAAAAACAACATTTGAAACACCTACGTTAATGCATGTACCCGCAAATTATTACCTCGACCTCCACGTAGTAAAAATATATCTTCGTTTTAGCTGTAACATGTGATTCCACCTTTGGGTCAAAATTTATTGGCTATAATATACAAAAACAAGAAAATTCCATTTTTCAAAATTTACCAGGTAGCTGAAAAAACTTGACATTTTTAACATATATATATATATATAAAATTATTCATTTAAACTATTTTTGCTTGGATATATTTATTCTTCGTTTTCGTCTTAATTTAGAACTGTTGAAATACGATTTTTAAAATAAAAAGAACTAACTTGAAAAGTTCATTAAATCTCTATTTACTAGTTTTTCATTCATAATTTCTTCTTCTTCCTCGCCTTAATCCCAACTACTTGGGGTCGGCCATCCTAAACTTCCACTTGACACGATCTCCCACATTATCTACGTACACATCAGCTGTCCTCATATCGCATTCAATAGCATCCCTCCATCTCTTTTTTGGTCTTCCTCTACCTCTTCTTCCTTCAACATTAATTTCTATAACTGTTCTTACAACTTCCGATTCTTCTCTTCTCATAACATGACCAAACCATCTAAGTCTATTTTGTCTCATCTTATCCACGATTGACGCTACACCTATACTCCTTCTTATATTCTCGTTCCTTATTCTATCTTTTCTAGTCACTCCACGCATCCATCTAAGCATTCTCATCTTTGCTATACTCATTCTCTTTTTACTTTCTTATCAACCGCCCAACCATACATCCTAGCTGGCCTTATTACAGTCTTGTAGAATTTATCTTTCAGCCTCATTGGAATTCTTTTATCGCATAAGATGCCAGACGCTTCTTTCCACTTCATAATTTATGTTTAAAAAACTCTTCATTGCTAATTAAAACTATAGTACCGCAAATATATTGTTTAACAGTACGATGACTTGACCATTATACTTTCAATCCTACTTTTAAATTGACTAATAAATAAATACTTTTAAACTAGGATGAAAATAAGATTTACTCTTTTGTAGCTAGGGTGTAGAATACAAAGTCCTCACGTCATTGTTCTCAATCAATAAGAATGTTATGTAACTTGGCACTTAAATTCAGATTAAACTTTTGTTTCGATCGTTGTTAAATGCAGTTTTGCAATAATGAATGCAACAACTGGTTTAATCTATAACACACTTTTTGATTAAACATCATTCTTTGTCAGATACCGCTTAATCATTTTATAGATAGATAAAATCCACGCATATCGTATATATTAAGACCTTAGGCTATGTATGTTATTCACCATAGATTTTCATTTTATTTTATAAATATAATATTCAGTCGTTGTAAGCGTGTTTAAATATATTGTTATATTGGTACTTGAAACTACTTCCTACACAAATTTAAATCTCAAATTAATTTTTTTTTATACCGTGTTGTTGATCAAATATTAAGGGTAAACGGGTTTGGTCGAGAACAAACTATGCAATATTTGTATAATGTTTTTATATAACAAAGTAATATGATGGAAATCAATGGTTGTAGCACATATTGATAGATATTCATATTCATAGAATTTATTGTAGAAACATTATAATAAATATCAATTACCTCTTGTTAGTGTACATTTAAAATGAATTTAATAATGCCAACAAGTAGAGCATTAACACTTTGAGTTTTATGAAATTATTTTTACGTGGTTTGCAAAAACGAAAATCGACAGTGAAGTTACTGATGAGTGAAAATTAAGTACATCTATACTCATTATTTCACTGTGATGATAAAAATAACATTCTAGCTTTCTATCACTCGAATGCTTAGTACATTAAATCGAATTCAAATGTAACATTGTAATTTATACTTTAATTTCTTCGTAAATTGTTTCTCCGGTAATACTAATAGTAATATAATGAAAACAAGTTTCAAATCTTCAGTTTCTTTTATGGAACTTAGATCACTGAAATTAATTAACAGATATTAACATATTTTAAGTTGTTTTAATCTTTAGAAATCGTATAACGAATATATTAAATATCCATCGAGAAAAACTATTGAAAAAATTACTTCGGATTTTTATTTGATAGTACGTTATTAAAGTCTCAAAAAATTAAGAAAATAAATTGTTTTCCATTCATTGCACATGCATAAATTTTATTATGTATAGTCCTATCTTATCTAATATAAACCGAAGTTTACAATTTTGTCAGAACATTAATTATAAATCTTGAAAAATAAATCATGTATATTATAATTTTTTAGATACTATTCAACAAAATATTTTTATAATATTGTTATTAAAATGTTTAATTTTATATAGCGAAATCCTTAAATATTTGTAGTCTTTAACTTTTGAATCAATCAGTTTCATTCATAAAAAATAGTGAATTAAGTAATTTAATTTTATTGATTCCTCCCTGTCAGTAAAACAAATTAATAATGATGTATTAGTATACTCGTACAAATATACAATATTATCGTACTGAGAAAATAAAAAACACCGATTCACTCGTGTTTATGTGTTAACGCGTATAAATGACAATCCGGTCAGGCCGGTCCGATGGCGACATAGTGTCGCGGATGATGGCTAGTGTGTGATATTTTGCACGACTGCGATGAAGCTGAACTCGAAAACGGCATGATGTCCACGTTGATCGGCATGACTGTGCGGCTCAGTCGCTCTTAGAAGATTCA